GGCCCCGCCCGCGGCCCTCCCTGCGCGCCCCCCCCCGCCTGTGCAAGCCTGTGCATCCATACAGTCATCTTACTGGTATGATTAATAGAAAGCTCTACAACCCCAGCCGCAGGAGACCCGTCAGCCCCCCCCCCTGCTCTCCGGTGGGTGAGCAGCACCCCACGGGGGCGTCCCCGGCTCAGGGACCGCGACACAGGCCTGCCTGCGCCCCCCTCCCCGCCTGTGCAAGCCTGTGCATCCATACAGTCATCTTACTGGTATGATTAATAGAAAGCTATAGGGTTATTGAGCGTTTCATTTGTTAGCTACATGTGGCTATTCTAATAATTATTACTACAGCCTCATGACACAGTCCCTCAGCAGATTTCTTGCCTCCAGCACTCCCAGCTCTGAAAGTCACCTTGTGCGGCTAGAGGGAAAACTACAGGAGCCCCAGGAGCCCCCTGTATCGCACACGTGCCCTGTCCTCTGCAAAACTTCCCCCCAAACACACTCTTGTTCTGCCTGGACGCAGGGCTCCTTCTCACTCCCCCGCCCTTCACAGCACTGCTGCTGCCATGCAGCCAGGGCCCCAGGGCTCAGCCCCCTGCGGCCCCCCAAAGCGGACCTTCACCCTCCGGGTCCCCTTAAAAACCAAACAGGAGAGAGGCTGCAAACCATCCTGCGGCCACTGAACTCGCGGGGCTCTTCTGCAAGGAGCCCAAGTCACCTTCCCTTCAGGCCGAGCAGACCACCGCAGTACCCCTGAGGGCTGGGACCCGACTCTCGCTGCGGTGACCCAACGCATGCCCCTGACACGCCAGCAGCACACAGCAGGACACCCCTGGCCCTCCTGCTGCCGGCAGCGAGGCCCCCGAAGCCCTTCGCCGGCCAGGCCGTGGGCCTGGGGACACCGCAGTGTAGGGGCCCGAAGGAGGCCGCCATCTTGGGGCACCCTTGGGGGACAGGGTGCTGCGGGCACCGCGGGCTGCCCGCAAGGAAGGCGAGCGCGCCGTAGCGGTAGGGACGCTCCCCCCGGGCGCAGGGGGGAG